AACTACAAAAATACAGAGTTGTAACTAAAAAACAAACAAGATCTCCCAAGAACTGTTGCTGATGACTTTGTTGGTAATGTTTTAAGTGACCTATGCACTAAACCTACTACTACAATTATTACCAAGGGACTGAATGACACTGTATTAATTCAGAGTACGGTAGTCTGAATGCTGGTAAATTTTTCCCCAACTTAAGAGACTCAAGAGTCTGGGTCATTGTATCAGACCACAGTATCTTGTTTTATTTTTTGTTGTTTTGTTTAATTTTTGTTGCAATCACTGGACTACAAGAAGGACAGTGGTACATAGGGTTCAGAATTGATAAGAATTTAGCGATTCCATTTCCATTATCAATATCACTTATTGATTCGATTCCTTCTTGATTCTCAATTCTCATTTGCTCATTGTCACCAGCATCTCTAAGCAGCATACCAAAGACATTAACTTCGTGCAAATTAATTACATGCTGCGTGGTCAAATGTTTGTGAGTGTTGGAGGTATTTCCCCTCTTTGTTGGGCTCAGTGTTGGGTTCATCAAATCTGCAATTGAGATTTTCAAAACTACACATCATGTCTTTAGCATCTTATGTTCTTTTTAAAATGATTTATTTTAGTATTTTTAAAATTTTGGCATTACAGTGTGTTATTGGTCATGGCTAAGAAAATACTGTTGAACTGAAGAAATGTACTGAAGTTTTTAAATTTAGCAGTACTACATGTGATTAAGGCAAACAGTAGCCTCAATTTTTTTACATTGTGCAAACTTCTTTGGGTTTACAGTGTAGCTATAATTTTACATTTGACATATATTTACTCTGTATGGATTTCTCGTTGGGCCTGCTTGAGTTTTTGCAGTGAATAGAATAACAGCTTATAATGTGAATTTTTTGAGTAGTCAGTTGGACCAGAAATGCCACAATATAAATTCTAGTCATTTCCATTAACTGGTAAGTGATAAGAAAATATTTGATTTGAGTTAAACCCAACAACAACCACCCTACACCCTTAAGAGCATCCTTACACCACAGGGCCCAGACAAAGATGGCTGAGATACCCTGAGAGTGAGAGTAGGTACTCTGATTTTATTTTTCAGTTCAGGATTTGACTCAAATACAGACTAGACACCAAATAAAACCATGTCTTCCATAAATTATGATCAATTCAGTTTTGTTTGGCATCAAATCACAAGAGTCACCTCAAAGTGCTTTATATTCTAAGGTAAAAATACTACAATAATATAGAGAAAACCCCATCAACCACATCTTTTTATGCCTAGTGTGTCATATTTGATAGAAACAGTTTTTTGAGTTTTTGAGCCTTCTACCATCGTCGGTGTGATTTTTTTCTCTCTCTGAGAACACATTTTAAGTAATTAAAAAAAGACAGATGTAGGAAATACAGTGGAAGTCACATCTGAAAATTGAAATGTACTTAATATATATTTTTAAAAATTGTCAAATGTATCAATAAACTCTCCATTAAAAATAAATAAATAAATAGAATTTTCTGGAAATAATATCATATTTAAGGTTTTAAGGGGTTGGCAGGAAGAAATCGCTGGCAGAACGAGGCTCAGGGATGGGCAGCCATCTGCTGCAACCAGTTTTGGCATGAGGGGAGGAAGACAGGGCAAAAGAGAGCAAGAACCATTAATAGTAATGATTAAATGCAGATTGGTGTATTAACACATAGTGAGTGAAAAAAGTTCAGTGAAGAAGATA